GACCTCCTGCTGACCAAAGGGTCGTAAACGCAGGAAGCTTACATCAAAAGCACAAGGATGTGTCTGTGATAAAAGACTACAGCCCCCACCTAGAACCTCGAGAATCTGGGGGTAAGGACAGTGGAATTTCTTTCATCAGAGTTAAAACGATGTACAAATGGTAAACATAAAAATGACAAACATTTAACAATTCACTCTAACAGTTTGCTTTGTTGAGCATGGGCCAATTTTCAATAAAATGGAAGGAGTGCATGTTTTCAAGCATACTTACATCGTAATGTCATGTGAGTTGTTCATGTTGTTCCAGGTTACTGTTATAAACAGTTTTTAAGTCAGCTCTACCTTATTACTTATTATCCCTAGTACTTACTCAGTATTATAGTGTACTAAATATGTAACGATGTCTGCTGTTCAGTTTTTATAAAGCATGCATCGTGTTTTAACTTTTAACCAAAACTAGCATCCAAGCCAGGAGAAAAACTTCCAAGCAAGACAGTATTAGTGCCTCCTGCTATGGATGAGCACACCATAAGCTCAGAGATTCCAACAAGCCTCTTACAGCCCCATAAACCCTGCTCCCGAGTACAAACTACACTGTGTTCATTAAGGCTGTTGTCTTTAATTCTTTGCTCTAAAAATGCCCTAAAAAGGTCAGTGATCACTGTTTTATTACCACTATTAATCTGCAGCATGTTTTAAAGCAGACAAAGAGCGATTCAGATAACCCATTTACGTTGTAATAAATCAAGGGTCCAGTGTACACTGTGCGGGACAGGATTACCTGGGTCCTACCCTGGTGCCTGGCCTGTCAGGCCTGTAGAGTTGGAGAAATACTTTGAGAATCTCATCAATCTCATCTCAGGCCTTCTATAATAGAAGCAGAGTCTGAGGATGAGGGGACGGCTCGATTTCATCTTTGTTTTTTGTAGATGATGTAGTTCTGTTAGCTTCATCGGGTGGAGACCTGCAGCTTCCACTGCAGTGGTTCACAGCATGGCATTCTGAAGGATGGACTGGGGTTATGATAATTATTGGTGAAAAAACAGAACTGCCATTTTTCATCTGGTAAATACAAAACATCCTGTTTCAGAATGACACTGAAAAAACGGTTCATGAATTTTTGGCAGGATTTCATTTAATCTAAACTTAACAAGAATGCTAACTGCGAGAGACCACCTTACAGAAAGCTATAGAAAATTTAAGAAGGAACTATGTACAGTTTATCATTTCATATAATTTCAATGTTTTTCTAGTCTTTTGAGCACTGTAAGCACAATGATAAAGAAAAAACAGTACAAGATGACAATAGGATAAGTTTGAATTACTAAAATCATGTATTATTTCCAGGCACTTGACATCGTATTATTACAAAAACATTTTCATTATGGGGTGTATCTTTATCACGCTGTTCTAATTTCAGTATTCTGGCTCAGTGGATGAAAATGTTGAGAATGTCGTGGTGATGAAAATCAAGGCTTTGGACAAAGACCAACAATACACAGACAACTGGCTGACTCGCTTCACAATTTCCAAAGGAAATGAAGATAATCTCTTTTCCATTGAGACAGACAAGGAAACCAACGAGGGCATCTTAAAGTTGATAAAGGTATTTAATACAGCGGGTAAACAACTACTGAACGTGTCACCAAGTTTCAATATTTTCGATATTTCAGTAGCACCTTTGTTAGTTTTAAAGGAGCTATAAAAGCATTTTCACCAGATGTCAGTCGCAACCAGTGTTGGTCAAGTTACTTGAAAACAGTAATTAGTTACTAATTACTGATTACTTCTCCAAGAAAGTAATCCTGTTACTTTACTGATTAAATATTTTCAAAAGTAATTAGTTACTTTATTACTTACTTACAATTTAAAAAAAACATGATACACAACCAGAATATGTAATATTAGAGACACTATAACAAACACAATCACGGTTTAGTAGCGCAGTATCGCAGCATGCTCAAGGGAAAGTAACAGTACTCTTATTACTTTTTTTGCAATAGTAATCCCTTCAATCGTTACTTGAAAAAAGTAATCAGATTACAGTAATGTGTTACTGCCCAACCCTAAACCTGACCCATGCAATTCATACCTGCAAAGAAAACAAACCACAGATGCAGGGACACCGCGAAAAAAGTCTTGAGCACATGAAGAAAGGGAGGTGCAAAAAGGAATGGAAAGTCATGACACCAGCTGAAATCTGCCGGTACTTAGAAGCAATCCTGCCCGCCTGCCTGAATGTTTAAGTGAGCACTGCTAGGGCCATAACCAGGGAGTGGAAAGACCATAGACCGGCCATGACCAGGTACTCCCCCACAAGATTTCAGACAGAGTAAAAAGAATTATCAGCAGAGTTGTCCACTTGTAGAGAGCTACAGAAAAACCTGGAATCAGCAGGTTGAATTGTTTTAAAGAAAACAAGTACCCGTAATGCACTCGACCACTATGGCCTGTAGGCATGCTCACTGAAGAAAAAACATTTTGAAGTGCATTTAAAGTTTGCTGACCAACATTTAGGCAAGCTCGTGAGATCCTGAGAGAATATCTTCTGGTCTGCCGATGCCATGTTTGGAGGTCAAAAAGCACTGCATATCACCACATATATATGTTATCACTGTAATATTATGGGTCTTTATATATTGAGCGGTTTGTATACACTAGAGCTCTTTCTTAGATTTAGTATAATTTAGTTCAGTCTGTCACTGTTCTTATTGTTACCACATTTCTCATTTTTACACATACAGTGGGGCAAAAAAGTATTTAGTCAGCCACCGATTGTGCAAGTTCCCCCACTTAAAATGATGACAGAGGTCAGTAATTTGCACCAGAGGTACACTTCAACTGTGAGAGACAGAATGTGAAAAAAAAATCCATGAATCCACATGGTAGGATTTGTAAAGAATTTATTCGTAAATCAGGGGGGAAAATAAGTATTTGGTCAC